AGACATTTCTTCTTTAATATAATGCTTAAATGTAAAGTTTCCATTATTTTGTATTTGTTTTTTTTTCTACATGTTGTTTTAACATGTAGCAGGAAATAAGTGCTTTTATTTCCATTAATTAATGGTTGCACCTCAACAGTCTAATTTACTCGCTCTGCGAAATGGATTGGCCAGTGGAGAAAATGTTATATAAAACAAACATTCGCTCCATCAATCAATAGTGAAGGCATTAAACACTTGTTTCCTGCTCTTTTTTTCTCATTGTCGGTGGGGGACTTGCGAAGCAAGCGAGTAGGTGTGTGCTTAGCAGATACTTTTCAGACTCCGGAACAAAGAGGTCAGAACTCCTTAAGCGATCACGAAGAGTACAATTTCATATAATGGCTTATTTTTGTAACAGTTATTTTATATCCACTTTCACAAAAGATAATGCCTGGTTAGTGTGTTCTATGAGATTAACAAAATTCTTTCTACACATTACTATAATACATTAAGGCGATGATGGCTACCCTTGGCTCTGCAAATGTCCGCAAACTATATTTGTCATGGTGCTCATCCAAATAGCTTTCTAGCCTGGTAGATCAATATTAAAAATAGTACTATAGGGATGTTAGACGGTGTCCTTACTTTAGAGGTACTGCCCTCTTTCTACCAGGGGGTGGCATGCATGGTGCTGTTTTTCTGAAGGCCAAGCTGTGGGTGCTTAGTGACTCAAATGAATATACAAATCTTATTCACATAAATGTGAAAGGGAGTATTGTGAAAGAACCACCAAGACAATGCCAAAAGTAGAGCCTCCAGTGTATAAGCAAAAGTGTTTTCACATAAATGACTTTATATCAGATCTCTCTCCCCTTGTCTTGTGCCTACCCTAACACACATCTTTAACTGCTCTCTCTCTTCTGGCACTGTTCCTGCTGACCTTAAACATGCCACTGTAATACCTATCCTGAAAAAACCCTCTCTTGACCCATCCTCCCCTTCTAACTATCGTCCCATATCCCTGCTCCCTTTCTCATCAAAGCTTTTGGAAAGGCTTGTCTTTACCCGTGTGTCCCGCTTCCTTAATTCCAACTCTCTCCTTGACCCTCTTCAGTCTGGCTTCCGCCCTCTCCACTCTACTGAGACTGCTCTTCTCAAAGTGACTAATGACCTAATCTCCGCTAAATCCAAAGGTCATTACTCCATATTAATTCTCCTTGACCTCTCTGCTGCCTTTGACACCGTTGATCATGCTCTCCTCCTTCAAACTCTTCAATCGCTCGGTCTCTGTGACTCGGTCCTCTCTTGGTTTTCCTCCTATCTCTCCCAACGCTCATTCAGTGTCTCCTTTTCCAAGGATACCTCCTCCACTTGTCCTGTCTCGGTTGGAGTTCCCCAAGGGTCTGTCCTTGGTCCCCTTCTATTTTCTCTTTATACCGCCTCTCTTGGTAAACTGATTGCCTCTTTTGGATTCCACTACCACCTGTACGCTGATGACACTCAGATATACCTCTCCTCCCCGGACCTCTCCCCTGCTGTCCTGCAACGTGTCACTGCTTGCCTTTCTTCCATCTCTGACTGGATGTCTTCACGCTTTCTGAAACTTAACCTCTCTAAAACTGAACTCCTTGTCTTTCCTCCTCCTAATACTGATCCTCCTCTCTCGCTCTCCCTTCAAGTCAGTGATATCCACATAAGTCCATCCCTGCAAGCGCGCTGTCTTGGCGTCATACTTGACTCTGGTCTCACCTTTGAGTCTCACATCCAGTTTGTTGCCAAGTCCTGTAGGTTCCAACTCAAAAACATAGCCCGCATTCGCCCCTTTCTTACGCAAGATGCTACCAAGGAGCTTGTCCATGCTCTAGTAATTTCCCGCATGGATTACTGTAACCCTCTCCTGATTGGTCTCCCCAAAAGCCGTATTGCCCCGCTACAGTCTGTAATGAATGCTGCAGCTAGACTGATTTTCCTCTCTAGTCGGTCCTCTCACACCTCACCCCTCTGCCGGTCCTTACATTGGCTCCCTGTATGCTATAGGAGTCAATTCAAAGTGCTAACCCATACATTTAAAGCACTGAACAGTTCTAGCCCCGCTTATATCTCTTCACTGATCCATAAATATGCCCCTCCACGTACCCTCCGCTCTGCCCGTGACCACCTCCTGACCGCTGCTCGCACCCGTACGGCCAACTCGCGCTTGCAGGACCTCTCGCGGGCGGCTCCTCTCCTATGGAATAGCTTGCCTACTGCCATCAAACTCTCCCCTAGTCTTCAATCATTTAAGAAGGGCCTTAAAACCCATCTCTTCAGGAAAGCTTATGGCCTCCCAGAGTAATCTCTACCTTACATACCTGTCTCCTGCTCTCTCCTATGGGACAGTGCTTTGCTCTCTCCTCCAGCTCTGCTTCACTCCTACTTGATATTTATTGTCCTAATGTTTCAAACACCCCACCTCCAATAGTCTGTAAGCTCGTTTGAGCAGGGTCCTCTTCAACCTATTGTTCCTGTAAGTTTTCTTGTAATTGTCCTATTTATTGTTACACCCCCCCTCTCAAAATATTGTAAAGCGCTACGGAATCCGTTGGCGCTATATAAATGGCAATAATAATAATAATAATAATATCAAACAGAGCGTACAGTGCTAAGCCAATGAGTTCCCAAGTAGCTTTGTTAAAGGGTTACTCCATCCGAAAAACAGTGGTTTCATAAAATACTGGTATGTTTAGCATAACAAGTCCCCCCGCACGTCCCCCCCCCAGCAAAAAAATAGAGAACATAAGTTCAAACTTATCCTTTCAATTGCTACGGCCAAGTTCTCCCTCAGCCTATACTTCCTTGGCTGATGTTACTTCCCATGAATTCAAGAAAGTTGCCAGATAGAAGCACATAAAGTACCATAACCACTCCAACTTATTGTAGGAGTTACGGTGCATGGAGTTTTTGAGTAACATCCCTTCTTTTTATTTTTATTTTTATTTTTTTTGTTCAAACTTTTTAGAACACTTTAGCAAAAACAAGGAGTCTCCTGGTCCCCAAAACCCTGGCTATCTGCTGCCCGCTACGTTATTTTGTGGCATTATCTATTTTAATGTGTCCAACCTTGGATGGCAGTGATAGGCTGTAAATGTTCAGCCAAGCTGCCCCCTGTTCTTGCAGTGTTGATTGCAATCCAAGCCTAGACAGCTGTAAAAATAATTTGGAATTAAAACATTCACATTATCTGAGCAGTAAGTAAAGGGGACAGGTTTTGGGTGCTGGGAGAGCCCCTTTTATTTTGTCATACTACTCAAATATAGTTTGACAAAAATACGAGATAGAATCGAAAGAATTGATTTATCTGTAGTGGTTTTGATGCTTAGAGTGTGTGTAATGCCAAACACAGGGCCCCCAGGCAGAACCACAGGGTTCCAAATGGATGGCTTAAAGGGACACAATAGTCACCAGAACAACTACAGCTTAATGTAATTGTTCTGATGAGTATAATAGCTCCCTTCAGGCATATCATGTAAACACTGCCTTTTCCGGGAAAATGCAGTGTTTATATTGCCCTTAGATGGCCACTGGAGGGGCTTCCTGGCTCAGTGCTGCACAGTAAGCAGCCCAGCTGTTCGGTGTCCCCATGCTCTGCATGGAGACGCTGAATTTACCTCAAAGAGATGCATTGATTTAATGCATCTCTATGAGGCGGTCCTGATTGGCCAAAATGGCTTTTGGCACTGCCCCCGTGCCGATTTTAGCCAATCCAATGCTTTTCCTATGGCCATTTAGATGATGTCACAAAGGGTGCGGAGCCAGCGCTGGCGGACCCGCGCAGCGCTGGAAATAAGGGAAGTTTTAAACTTTTATAGGGGGGGGGCAAGCCACCTAAATGGTGGGTTTAGCACTATAGGGTCAGGAATACCTGTTTGTGTTCCTGACTCTATAGTGTTCCTTTAATGCCAAGCAGAGCCTTCAGATGACACCAACAGGCTACAGGTAATTAACGACGCTGAGCACAGAGTCTCAAGGCAAAACCAACAGAATCCTAGAAGATGGCTTAATGCCAAACAAGGTACCTTTTGGCGAAAGCAGCAGGTTTTTGTTAGATAATACCAAGCACAGGACATCAAAGTAAAACTGATGGGCTACAGGTAGGTGGCTTAATGGTAAACACAGAGCCTTCAGGTGAAATCGATGAGATGCAGATAGATGGATTAATGCCAAAAACTGGGATTTCAGGTGCAGTGACCCTGTCCTTTTAACCCTGCAATATAAAATATTGCAGACTTTTTTTTTTAGAAACTGCCTTGTTTACGTTGCAGGGATAAATCCACCCTAGTGGCTGTAATACTGAGGAAGAGGGAGGGAAATGACCTCTATAGAACTAGGGACAGGTACACTACTTTAAAGGGAACCTATAGGCCTGAAAATAACACTTGAAATTTGGGACTATAGGATCCCTACTGTCCACCCCCATTTCCTAATAAAAAACATTGAAGTTTAAAAGAAATTACTTACCTTGGCACCAGGCTTCCTATGCTACAGCTACCTGCTCTACCTTCGAACACGCTGCAATTCACTTCTTCTACTAGAGAAGCATATGATTGGAAATGTGGATCCATGCCTGAGTCCAGTGGAGCTGCTGTCACCTTCCTGTTCCTCCGTGCTGTTTAGTGATATCGGGGCTAGAGTGCCATCATATTCTGGCTTCCAACATCACTGCAGGGCACGCAAGGGAGCAGAGCAAGAACATACCATCCCTCGTTGCCTGCCTCTACGCTCTTCTCTTCGCCCGTCCTCCTATTCCACTCTGGCAGGCCGGCTGACTGCCTTCACTCTCCCACAGCAGGCCACCTCAGGGAATGAACGGGCTGACAAATCTCAAGTGCCAGGTAAAAATTCCTAGTCGCAAATGTGATTTGTCGAGCCCTGCGTTATTGTCCTACAAGATGGAACAGAGAATCTTAAGGCCAAACAAATGGGCTTCAAGTAGATGGCTAATTACTAAATAATATATGATGTCTACAGGTAATACCAATGGATTCTAGGTAGATGCAATGCCAGACTAAAACTTCAGGCAAAAGTAGCAAGCTCCAAATAGATGTGTAAAAATGTGCATCTGGAGTAAGTGTGCTTTTGAAAGACAACAAATATCATACCAGCTTTAGGAATACTTGTTAGAGTGTACAAAACTTTCTGGATTGTTTTAGAGTGTACAAAACTTTCTCGGATGAGGACCGAGCATTGATGTCTATTACATTACTCTGGATTTTGCATTGTTATTTCCCACTGATGTAGAACATTGGTGGCCGCCATTGTAAAAGAAAAAAACGCACATCTCTTGTATTCTCTTCCCTTTCATTAACGAACCTGTAACAGAAGAAAGATGAAAGACACTTAGTGTGTTGCAACTCGAAGATAAAGAAAGATTTGAAAAGACTGTAAAATGGACCAGCTGAAACCGTAATACATCTATGGAAACCTGTGGTGTCTGTTCAAAGACCAGTACTACAGAATTATAGCAACAACGCTCTGAAAGCTAACAGGATCAATTTGAAAATGGTTTATTGATGATGTTTACTTCAAGGGAGACATACACAACACTAATGTCACCTTGTTTCAGGAGGATTGACTTAAATCTGACTTGTGACTTAGAAGAAAACTGTCATCATTTTTATTATTCTAAGTAAAAGATTATATGTATTGTAGGCACCTTGGGTATTATATTACAATACTTAGCTTTAAGATAATGCCTATTTTCTGTGCATCTCCTGGCTTAACCATGCTGTATGGAGGTGGCCATCTTTAACTACTCTTTGGTTAGAAGCACCTCATATTCAAACTAATAATGTGTAGGACAGGTAATCAAGAGCTAGTGCATGTTCATGAACCGTGAAAGCAAGCACAAGGGCCCCCACATATCTAAAAAAAAGAAGCTGGTGCACCGTCCTAGAAGATAAGTTGTGTTTCTGACAAAAAAGACTAAAATATGGTCGCCCCCGGTAGAGCCAGAGGAAGAATGTTGATGCACTAAAAATAAGTAAGAACGGACAAAACAATAGTCATGCTACTCAATATGTAATTTTCTGTATTCAGTGATAATAAAACTATCATTGCAGTATTCCTTTATATAATCAAGACATCATATGGTCTGGATATTATCAACGTTCTATGAAGCTGTTCGTAAGCTTTTAAAGTATTTTTATCACACATAACCACATTGGGATGACCTGTATCTAGAGTTTGAAACAGTTTCTATTGAGTGTTTTATTTTATGTATCCCAACATGCATCTGTCTGGTTGCGATAAATTCAAATACGCTTTGTTTCTGATTGTCGCTTTGTGCGTGTTGTGTGGATTAGCTGAGCCTTTCAGATTTTATTAGGTTTCTGGATATTTTAATAGATAGCCTTAGACTACATTTACAAAAATCTTCAAGAGTGCCCCCAAAAAAGTAACATCAAAAAAATGCAATGTAGAAAGTCTACGATCACCATCATGTCCTAAAATAAAAAATAAAATATAAATAAAAACATTTAAATTATAAGATTTTTGTGTGTGAGGCACAGGTATAAGGTAGGCAGAACATCTAATACAGGTACTTTGGACTTTCGAAACAGTGGAAGTGGCAGCAAATCTGAAAAACATCCCTAGTGGCTATATGTGGTATTGCAAGACTGTAAAAATAGAGATGAGCCTTGCAAACTGGCCCCACCATTTCCTAATTCCGACTGGTGAATGCCAGTCTTCTTCCAGCCTGAAAGGGTTAACTGCAGAAACAATTAATTGTATGGAAAGTTTCCAAACAGAGAAAAGTCTAACAAAATATATTTTTATATGAAAATGGAACAAAAAAAATGATGGCCTTGTATGACCTTGAGAGAGGAAGAGTAACTGCAGATCGAAGACTGACAGATCTGCTCAGATTAACGTTCCCTACTGTAATTCAGGATGTCTAAGACTTGATATTAAGTTATGTTCAGACATCATTATTAAAAAATAAATCAAATGAAAAAGACTTGAGAGGAAATAAGTTTAAAAAAATAATAAGACTCGCAGACCATGGTTTATTTACTGAAACCACGGAGCAACGCAGGGAGGAGTGGGCCTTGACAGAGCCAGGAGTAGGCAGGGTGAAGTTCAGGTCAAGAGGCTGTCCTGTGATTGTGCTGGGGGGCGTGGGTTAGAAGGGAAGTTTAAATAGCGGCCATTTTAGGGTAAGTTCATTCTAACTTGAGCCTTTCTTACCTGTAAATTGTCGCAGGTCGGTTGGGCTCCTCTTTTCTTCTTTTCCAGGTGCAGCATGGCGTCATTAGAAGAACTGCTGTCGGGTCTGCGGTCCGTGGTGCAGGAGAAGGGAATGGCGTGGCTACAGGAGCAGCTGGGGGTTCCGAGCACGTCTGCTCCCCCCCATGCGGTGCCGGATCGGAGGCCGGAGAGGAGAGCTAGGCCGCCCCAGCGGCTTAGTCCTGGAGCGGGTCCTGCAGCCAGACGGAGGAGGAGCTCGGCGGGAAGCAGTGCGGCGGCCGGAAAGCAGGGACGTGGAGCGGGTCGTCGGCCGGGACCGCCAGCTAGGCGCAATGCCGGGGCGGTGAGGTTGCAGGCCAGGAGGAGGCCTCCCTTGAAGGGCGCCCCCTGCCGGATGGCGGCGGGCGGGCAGGCGGAGCTGACAGCTGGTGCCGGAATGGAGCAGGACGGAGGGGAGTCGGTTACAAGACCCAGGAGCAGCCCTGGACGTCCCGGTGAGTCGCCCCCTGGGGGCAGCACTGTGGGGCAGGAGGGATTGAGAGGGGCTGGCAGTGGCAGGACAGCGGTCTCACAGGTTGGGGAGAGGGACCAGGTCAGCAGGGCACAGCAGGAGGCGGCTGGAGTTGGAGGCAGGAAGGATAGCGCTGCGGATCCAAGGGATCAGAGGAGCATGGCCAGGAGCTTGGGAAGAAGGGGAGACGGGCACAGCATCGGCAAGTCTGGGGACCCAGGAGACAGGAGGAGTGGCAGTATGGAGCGGAGTGGCAGCAGGCGGGTGACTGGCCAGGAGGACGGCGGCACCCAGGACAGCAGTGGGCGGGAGGCCTCTAGGGGTCGATCCCAGGAGCGGCTCGATAGGAGGAGCGCCAGCAGAGGGAATGGCGGAGGATGGCAGCGCGGAAGGGCAGAATGGCGGGACAGCAGGTCAGGGTCTGCAGGCAGTAGGAGACATGGGAACGGGAGCCCAGCAGGGAACCGGAGCAATAGGAGGAGGTCAGCTTCTCGGGACAGGTGGCTACGGCGCCGGCGCAGTGAGTCAAGGTCGTCTGAGAGGAACCACACGGCACGGAGGAAGAGAAGTAGCGAGCGGGAGGGACGATGCAGGCAGGGAAGTGGTGAGGACGGGTCTGATCACGGGAATGAAGGGCGGGTGAGGCTGCAGTCGGACAGATCACCCAGGCTGTATTCTCCTTGCAGGTCGTTGAGTAGGACGCCCACGAGAGCAACACACGAACAGGCGGGCAGGAGTCGGCGTCCCCTGGTTCCTTCTGGGTCGGCTGTCGTGGTGGAAAAAGTGGCGCCCCCGCGGCCAGCAGCGGCCGGGGGCTTTAGCGGTGAGTCTCCAACTGCATCACACACAGGAAGCTTACTTGGATGTTTAAGATCTCTGTTAGATTCATGGTCTGGGGACGGGGGGTCTCCGACACAGTTTGAGAAAGTGTGGGTTGCGGACGGCGGTCGGACAGCAGGGGTGAAGGCCGCAGCGTCAGCGGAGCCGAAAGGGGGTGAGGGCGCCGTGGGGACGGGTCAAGGAGCGACGGGTGATGTGGGTGAGCATGTCGTTCTCTGCGGGGAAGTAACGGATGCGGCACGGCAAAATGTGCATGTGTCTTTTGCGGGACCGCTAGGGTGCCACTTAAAGGTGGAGGTTAAGGAGAAAATTTGGAAAGGGGAGTTCGTGGAAATATTTTCCCTACTTCCCCTGGAGGAATTTTTAGACTTGAAAGAAGAGGATAAAAAGGATGCGAAAAAGGAAGAGGAGGAAAAGAGGCGGAGGTATCGGAAAATACCCAAGTCTTTTGGGAACTGGTTGAGGGCCTTTTGTATTTTGGCGAGCGTGATCGGGGAAAAACACCCGGATCGATGTTCGCAGCTTTTTTGTTATTTAGACGGGATAGGGGACGCATATCGGACCTATGGGGGTTTAGCATGGTGGAAATATGACGAACAATTTCGTCAGCGATTGGCGGCAAATCCGTCCATGCGGTGGGACCAGATGGACTTGCCTTTGTGGATGAGGCTGATGATGGCACAGAAAAGTGCCCCCTTTCTCGGAGCGGCCGGCACGGGCTCAGGTACCGTGTCGGCAGGTCAGAAGAAAGGTTTCTGCTGGCTCTACAATGAGGGCCAATGCAAGTGGGGTGCATCTTGCAGATTTAAGCACGAGTGCTCCGGTTGCGGGGGTAATCACGGAGTTTCCAGGTGCTTCCGAAAAGGTAAGCCGAACTTGGGAGGAGGGGTTGTCGGCACATCAACAGCTGCGGCTGCAGCTGGGAGCATCGCCGGTGAAGGTAAGCGCGATGCTGCCTTGGTTAAAACTATACGATAATCAGGAGGTGGCAAAGTTTTTACGGCTGGGTTTTACAGAGGGTTTCAGGATTCCGTTTCAAGAAAGGGCTGTGGGTGGGTTATGTAAAAACCTTCGGTCAGTGGGGGAACATCCGAGCATAGCTCGGGAAAAGTTAGGTAAGGAAGTGCAATTAGGGAGGATGGCGGGACCATTCGCTTCCCCGCCGTTGGTTGGTTTGCGGGTGTCTCCACTTGGGGTAGTCCCCAAGAAGGAGGCGGGTAAATTTCGTATGATCCATCATTTATCGTACCCACAAGGTACATCGGTTAATGATGATATCGACGAGGCCCTGTGTTCTGTTTCCTACACATCATTTGACAAGGCTGTCGAGTTGGTTAGGAGAGCGGGACAAGGGGCTCTAATGGCGAAATTGGATGTGGAGGCAGCTTTCCGGCTGCTTCCCATACACCCGGATTGTCATCACTTATTGGGGTGCTATTTCGATGGGGGGTATTTTGTGGACTTATGCTTGCCTATGGGTTGTGCCATCTCGTGTGCTTACTTCGAGAGGTTTAGCACCTTTTTGGAGTGGGTCGTACGACGGGAATCGGCTGGGGGTGCTGTGGTGCACTACCTTGACGATTTCTTATGCGTTGGCCCACCACGCACGGAGCGCTGTAGCCAGGTGTTGAGGACCTTCCAGTGGGTGGCACACACATTTGGGGTGCCGTTAGCAGAGGACAAAACGGTGGGGCCCACTACGTGCCTCAGCTTCCTGGGTTTGGAGATCGACTCGGTACGGAGGGAGTGCAGGTTGCCCGGGGACAAATTACATGCCC